AGTGGAAGCATCTGGAGAAGCCCAGCACATCTCCACAACCAGGGCATTGGCGTAGGTGCCGTCAAGATGCAGAGCCCTTCCCACGTGCGCCCCGCCGCCCTGTTACAGTCCCACCCGCCGCCCCTCTCTCCCGCCTTCACCCTGGCAGCCACCAGTATGTTCTCTGTTGCTATAATTTTATCACTTCAAGAATGTTACAAAAATGTTTAAAGCTGTGATCCATTTTGACCTAGTCGGTTTGGCTCAGTGGATAGAGCGTTGGCCTAAAGACCAAAGGATCCTGGGTTCGATTCTGGTCAAGGGCACATACCTTGGTTGCAGGCTCCTCCCCGGCCCGGGCCCTCACATCGATGTTTCTCTCTGTCTTTCCCTCTCTCTTCTCCACACACACACACAGAAATCTGTGATCCATTTTGAGTTAATTTTTATAGTTTTGGGGGGTTTCGGTGGAGGCCCGTTTTTTGCCTCTGGGTGTGCCGTTTCTCCAGTGATTTGTTGAAAGGCTAGTCTTCCTCCGTTGGATTGCTGTGCACCTTTGTCAAAAGTCATTCGGGCCTGTTCGTGTGGGTTAGTTTATGGCTGTCCGCTCTGTACATTGAGCTGCGTGTCTGTCTCTCTACCAGTCTCTCTACCAGTCTCAGACAGTGAGCCTGAGTAACGCGTCCAGCCATTCCTCCCAACTCACTCCTTTTCAAAAGTGTTCCGTTCTTTTGCCTTTTCATGTACATTTTAAAATAATTAAGTGGATAGCTACAAATAAAAACCTAGCTGGGATTTGGATGGAATCCTGTGAAATTTCTGTGTCCACGTGGGGAGAATTGGCCTCTACCACGTTGAGCCTTCCAGGCCCTGAAGAGCAAACACAGAAAGTTCCTCCCTCTCAGTGGGAGCTGGAGAGGTGAAGACGCGGCCGCTCTGATGTCTGTGACCACCCCCTCACCCCTCTTTCTCCACACGTCTCCCCAGGCCTACGAAAGGAGGTTCCCCACGTGCCCGCTGATCCCGATGTTTGTGGACAGTGACACTGTGAATGAATTCAGGAGTGAGGACGGGGCCATTCACATCATAGAAAGACGCTGCAAACTGGACATAGACGCACCCCGGCTGCTGAAAAAGGTGACCGCAGGCCGAGGAGGCCCCTGAACCGAGCGAATCACGCACACCACCACCGCTGCTGCTGCTGCTGCTGCTGCTGCGATCGGGCGGTACTAATGCTTCCTTCTCTCTGTTCTTTTTTACAGATTGCGGGAGTTGACTATGTTTATTTCGTCCAGAAAAACTCACTGAATTCCCGGGAGCGCACTTTGCACATTGAGGCCCATAATGAGACGTTTGCTAACCGGGTCATCATTAAGGAGCACTGCTGCTACACCGTGAGTACCCGGCTGTCCTCTCCACAGGCTGCCCGCCTCCCGCGGCGGGGGCACAGGAGCAGGTGCGGTTACTCAGAGTGCAGGCGGCAAGTGCTCTGGTCTGTGTGTGGATTTGCTTTACGTGCCTGCTTTGCTGGCCCACTCTGACTTCAGATGTCTGTTGAAGGTCACGACACTGGGACCTCCGAGAGTGGCGCTGAGTGCATTGATTGCCCTAAGCTTCACGCTTACCACCGTTTCCAGAACTTTTCCTCCCAGGTCGCTAGAATAACCTCCTGGGTCTCCCACGTCTCCCCACCCTCCTATAGAAGCAGCCCTGAGTCCCGAGCCACCCGCCGACCGTGTGTCAGATCACGTCACACGGTCCCAGAACCCAGCAGGGACTCGGCTTTGCACTCAGAGGTCGTACCTCTGCTGCCTTCCTGCCTTGTGCACAGCCCCGCTCCGTCTGCTGTCTGCTCCTAGACGGGCCTCACAGGGACCTTTGCTCCGGGGCTCCCTGCCAGGAGCCTCCGCCCCATCCTCTGCTGGACGCCCGCCCTCTCCTCCTCCAGCCTTTGCTGACAGCCCTTCCTGATGAAGCCAGCCCTGAATATTTTAGAAATAGTACTTTGGTCTCCGTGATTTTGACCCTCTCTGTAATTTTTCCATCTGCTGCTTTTATGATAATCACATGATTAATAAAATAGGTTTTTTCTTACGCTGACTAGTTGATTGAGGGGCAGACATGATATTCTCAGTTATCAGTTAGTTAATGCAATTCTTTCTCAATCTGAAGGTTCACCCTGAAAATGAAGATTGGACCTGTTTCGAACAGTCTGCAAGCTTAGATATTAAATCTTTCTTTGGTTTTGAAAGTACAGTGGAGAAAATTGCAATGAAACAATATACCAGCAACATTAAAAAGGTGAGTCTGTCCTGGAGTTTTATGGAAAAGGGTGGGCAGGCGTCCCTGGGATGATTGGTGCTGGCGGGCTTTCTGGGAGGCTGGGAATGGGGTAGTCAGGGTCCCAGCCATTTCTCTGGGGGACTGCTCTGACCTTCCCCGGGCCTTGGATCCCTGGGAGTGGGAGGCGTAGGTTGGGGTGCACAGAATGCTGGTTGCCAATGAGGTGAGGAGGAGCATGTGGCCAGGGGCCGTGCGTTCTCGGCTGGGACTTGCCAGGAAGGTGAGAGTCGGGGTGAGGCAGGAGCAGCTCACTTGCAGCAGCAGCCCTGGTTCCGCCAGCATCTGCGGCCCGAAGTGCTGCAGCCGGAAGAGGCACCTCCCAGGCGTGCTCAGGGGTCCACCTTGGGTCGTTGGCTCATCTGCATGGAAGAACTTTCCTTCTCTTCTTTTTTTTTTTAGATATAATTTTTAAAAAACATTGTTATTGATTTCAGAGAGGAAGGGAAAGGGAGAGAGATATAGAAACATCAACGATAAGAGAGAATCATTGACCGGCTGCCTCCTGCACACCCCTACTGGGGATTGAGCCCGCAACCCGGGCAGGTGCCGTTGGCCAGAATCAAACCTGGGACCCTTGAGTCCGCAGGCCGATGCTCTATCCCCTGAGCCACACCGGCTAGGGCTCCTTCTCGTTCTTTTGCTGCTGTTCATTATTGTGGAAGTTTGGTTTTGAACTTACCAATTTGGGGTTCTGAGTGCTTTTGAAGGCTTGTTTTATTTTGGGACTTTGGAAAGAATTTGGATTGAGACAGAAAGCACGTATTGAGTACAAGTGTGGTAAAGCAGTGCTTCTAATTAGTCATAAAAATTCTGTCTCTTTAGATATTACTTCCTAGACCTTTGGAGAAGAGGAAGTAAAATGTGAAAAACAAAAATGCAGAGGCATTTGACTTCCCCGTTTATTCTGCAGCAGCTCAGTTTTTGTTAGTGTTACAAAGGCCTGTGAGGGACGAGCGATTTCAATGTTGAATGCGTGCTCACCTGACACTGGTTTTGTTTTAAAGGGAAAGGAAATAATTGAGTACTACCTTCACCAGCTGGAGGAGGAGGGCATCACCTTCGTGCCCCGCTGGACTCCGCCGCCCCTGGCGCCCTCTGCGGAGACGGCCGCGTCGTGCAG